CAATCACTAGCTCTTTCCTCTGTGAGACTCTTTCATCAACTCAACGGTGAGGGAAGAGGTGGGGGCAGGCACCACAGCTTGATTTCTTTCCATGGAAACATAGCTTATTTTCTACTACCTGTATGCGAGGGGAGGGCTAGGGCCAGAACAAGCTGCTCCACCAATACTGTGTCTTACTGCGTAGGAGGTTTGGTGCTTTGCCTTGGGACAGGGGATGCCTGGAACTAGGCCAACCAACTCAACCTTGTTTGGCTGGGACTTTCTCAGTTTTGCCACTGAAAGTCCTGCGTCCCGGGTACCCATTAGTCCCAGGCAGACTGAAACAGTGGGCCACCCTCCTCGGCACTTAGTGATTTGTTCCTAACTGTTGGGATTTTTACTAAAATTTTTGAGAGAGCAAGAAGGAATTTAAAATTCTGTCATAGTTACTTCTAGAGGTTAATTACTACTAACCATTGCAATTTTTAAAAAACAATCTTAAATTATATTCTGACTGCCATAATATGTATTAGGGTTTGTGTTGGGGTTTCAATGTTATTACATAGGTATTACAGTTTCGGGGTGCAAAAACAGTTAGATCCTACCTTGCTTAGTCTCTATCTTTAGAGTAAAACGCAATAATGCTTTATTATGAATGAGCTAGTTTTAAGCTCCAAATCTCCTCATACCAAATGCTCCACAGATTAGAAAGGATCTCAGTGTATTTCCTTTTGTCCCTAAAAATATTAGGTCTAAGAGTTTTGAAGAAAGGTAAATCCAACGTACCCACTAGTCCCAGGAAAGATGTGACCAGAGACAGAGCAAGAAAAGAGCTCCGTACCTGCTGTGCTGTCCAAGGTTCCAAGCAGAGCTTTGGTGCCGAGCCGGACTGGAGTGGAGCTGAGACAAGGATAAGATGTCTGGGTCTCTTCTCAGTGGGCTGTGAGCACAGACATTCAGAAAAGGAGGGAGGGGTAAGAGAGCCAGGGGTACCCTGAGCCCCTCACCCACTTGGCATCTCAGATGCAGAGGAAGTGAGGAGAGCCCCTCAGAGCGCCGCACCTGGGCGGATGACCTTTACTGCCTGGTGGTTCCACCTTCGGAAGGAAGGCAGCGAGAGGAAGCAAAAAAGATAGATCTGCCTCTTCAAGAGCCATGTTTCCACCTTTTAGTTCTCCTTAGCCACGGCTATTAATATCCATGTCTTCAACTTCCTTACAAGTTCCTTTGAAGTTTATCAGTCTCTGTAGAACATTGTTGGAGCTCTATTATCTTGGTTAAACAATATCATGGAGGCAATTGCAAGGGTGTGACTTGTTTGATCTTATGATAAATTCTAATTATCAATATTTGTCCTATCAAATTGAGCGAGCCCCATGGAAGAATATCAAAATAGGGCCATTTGGGTCTTGAAGAGGTGAAAACCCTCTCAGCTACTGTTTAGTCTGAAGATCAGAAAGTGGGGTTATTTTACCAGGCAATAGGTCCATTTGGGGTTTGACTGAAGGAATGACCCTTTTTACTTCGCTGGTCTAATATGCTAATAATCTACCTAGAGTTAGAGCACTCAGCATGGAGTAGTCTGGAATATATTTCTTCATGTCTACATAACCCCACTCTGCACTACCAGACAGTGGTCACTGGGCGGCGGCGTCGAGCCCAGAAAGAAGGAATGAATTTGCGCACCTGCCTTAGGAAAGAAACCACATTTGAATGATAGTAAACACTGAGATGCATATCCGCAGCCAGTTAACTTGCAAATGGAAGAACATTCTCTGTCGCAACCTCTCCCAGGTCAATCTCAATACTAAGGCTTCCAGTTTTGGAAACTGAGATTTGGAGGCTCAATTCTATCCATTCCTTTTGGTTAGCCTTCTTCTGGTCAGTTTCTTAGATTCTGGTATCGTTCTCCAAAACCAGGTAAACAAAACCCTTGGTCACAGTTACTATCACTTTCTGCACAAATGCACAAATAACTTCAGTCAAGGTGATGTATATAACATGTGTCTCACCTGTGAAGCCCATCAGAAGATTTCCCTTAATTCATAGAACTTCTATGTACTCCTATTTTCCACAAAAAGAAACCTGGAATGCCTTCACTTAATTTTGTAGCTTTGTCTGTTTCCTGTAAATATTTTAGTTTCTGTAAGGGGAGTAATCATCATCTTGATCTTATATATATTTTGGGGGAAGACTGAATAAATTATTAGACATACTACTGGCATCTATTAAGCACGTAAAAGGCTGTTTGAGTGAAATGCGAGTGTCAAATATTTGTTTTACTAATGTGGGGCTATGAAAAATAAGATATAGGATTTTTATATCGTAAGTTTTAAATCTAAAGTTTAAGATTAGCCATCTAATTCTTTGTAGCTTAAAGACTAGAGACTGTAGCCTTTAGGGAAGTTACATTTAAATGGAAATTTACTGTAAAATGGAAAAGCAGTAATACACACAATGCAACTGCATGTCTGCAGTTGCAACTGTAATGCAACTGACTATGATTACGTTTTTCTATTTTCTTAGGGAAAATGAGAGGCAAATCTAGAGTCTTCTTGGCTCATGGTGACTGAGCCCCATGGAAAAAAGTCCAGTCAAGAGGTTTAGAAGAAAAGGGGAATATACTTTCAATAATTAAATTAGTTTCTTGTCCTTTACTCTGTGCTCTATTTCCCTAATTGCTTTATGTAGCTTTACTAACAGTTGAGAAATGCATATGTTTGGGCCATTTTCAAGACGTGTCAGAGAAAAAAAGAAGATAATCTCACAAATCAGAAATTTGGTAACACATCTAATCTAAGACCCTATGGGTCCAGGGGCCACTGCACTGATACTGTCTCCATGGAACTTATAACTTTCAAGTTGGAAATAGTCTGTTATCTTATAAAGGGTATATAACCCATAAATTATTTAGCTGACCTTTCCCCTTGCAGCACAGAGAGTCATAGGTGTCACATAGAAGGGGCCCCAGAACCATGATCAGAGGTCTGTGTCTTTCTCTTCTTTTGACTCTATGGGCTTGTGCCCTTCCCTTGACCACTTTTGCCTCAGTTTCCTCATCTGTAAGGCATGACAGTGCATTAGGCCAACGATCTGTCTCAGTCTGTACATTTCTAATAGTTCACCTGTCTCAAAACTGGAGTGGGTAGCTCCCCACTCCCATCGTGGCTCTAAGTTGGCTGAAAGGGCCCCAGCAGATACACATCCTCCCCGAGCTCGTTCACTTGAAACCTTTCACTGCTACTTCTCTGGAACCAGGTCTCCATCTGTTCTCCCCCAGTGCAATTTGCAGATTATTCTAGATCTTCCTGAGCTCCTCTTTCAGCTATGGAGAAAGCTGATGTGAGGACGAAATGAAGCAAAGCAGAGAACACACGTAGAAGACAGACACCCTCTTCGTTAAGTTACCCTATTGTTCATTAGCCTCTCTCTCTGCTCACTCAGAGTTCAAATAGGAGAGATAAATAACAGTCTCATACCTGGTCATCAGCTCCCTAACTTGAGTGCCGAGCTCCCTTCAGAACATGACAGCAGCTGTTGGTTTCATTGCCATGTAAGAATCAGTGGTGCTGACTAGATTGGGAGTCAAGACAGTTCTATTGAAGCCTGATTTCTCTGTAAAAGTATCTTGTTTTGCATGGGATTTGAGGAGTAAGATAGAGGTAGGCAGCCTGCAGTCGCATATCAAAAATGCCACTTGGAAGAAAGAACTTTGCCTCTAGAGATTTGTGGAATAACATTTCCAGGGAACCTCTATAACTGTATAGGAACAAAATCCACAGTGGGCAGGGCGCATGTGCAATACAACATGAGATGGAATGAAGAAACCTTCTCTTTCAGGGTCAAGAAAGCACAGATATAAAAGTATGAATTTTCGCTCTCAAATACTTCCTGTGACCTGTGGTGAGATAAAGGGGATGTTACATAAGAAGAAATTGAAACAAGGTAGGTTTCAGAGTTTAATTTGCAACATAAATCACCCATGTGAATTAACTAACATGGTCCAAGTAATTGGGGCCACACTTTGGCTTGCGAGAAGGAGGATGGGATCCCTAAGATGGTATTTTCACACTTGAAGAAAGCATACGTATTAGGGGCTCACTCCCACATGGCAGCATCCATGGGGATGCCCAAAGAACCAAAGAGAAGTGAATCAGAAATCCGTTCTTCCTTCTGGATGACTGTCACTAGGACAGAGTGCTTGACGTAGCGGCAGCAGGAAACCTGAGTCGGTCTCAGCTCTCCCCAGAGTGACTGACTGATTATCTGCGTCAAGATGGGACCTTTCTGAGCCTGATACTTGTCATCTAAAAAAGGGATAATAATTAAAACCTTCCTCGTGGTATAGCTGTGAGGAATTAATTTACATAATTGATGTAAAATATTTAGACAGCTTAACTGATATATAATTCATATACCATACAATTCACCACTCGGAGTATACAATTCAGCATTGAGTTTTGCTTGCGTATTTGTAGGCCATCACCACAGTGTAATCTTAGAACATGATTGTCCATCCCCCACTAAAGGAAACTCCGTGTCTGTTAGCAGGCAAATGCCCATTCCCACCATGCCCACTGCCCAGCCCCAAACAACCACTAATCTATTTTCTGCTCTATAAATTGGTCTATTCTAAGTATTTCATATGAATGGAATCATATAACATGTGCCCATTTGTGACCGGCTCTTTCACTTAGCATGATGTTTTCAAGGTTCATCCATGTAATAGGGTGTCTTAGTACTTCAGTCTTTTTTATTGCCAAATAATATATTCCATGGTATGGATATACCATTTTTTGTTTATCCATTCATCAGGTTGGTTGTTTCCACTCTTTGGCTAATATGAATAATATCTTGAACATTTATACACAAGTTTCTGTGTGAACATATTTTCAGTATTTTGGGATATATACCCAGGAGTGGAATTACTGGTTCATACGGTAATTCTATATTTAAATTATTGAGGAAATACCAAAATGTTTTCCACAGTGGCTGCACTACTTCATATTTCCACCTACAGTGTATGAGGGCTCTGATTTTTCTGCCTCCTCGCCTACATTTGTTATTTTCTGACCTATTTATTATGGCCATCCTTGCGGGTGTGAAGTGGTATCTCATTGCAGTTTTGTTTTGCATTTCCCTAATGACCAATGATGCTTGCTGCACTATTATCTTTTATATAACTTAAATTTCCCACTGGATGACATTCCACAATTATTTTTAATATCAGTGATCCATGATTTCGGGGATGGGAAAATCTCTGCTCAGTAATGCCATTCAACGGGATTAAAAATGTTGTAATAAAGGGCACAGGTGCTGCCAGGATGCCATTCTGAGCCAAAGGGCCCCCACCTGACATCTCGGTCCCAGCTTGAAGTTCTGCCTCCATGATGCCCCAAGGGCCATTGAAAACTCCGTTGGGGTCCCCAGCAAATTGAGATCCTCTCCCCCTCCCCCTGCTTTTCCTTTGTAGATGGTTTTGAAATACTTTAAGAGGTTGATTTTGATGGCACTTGTCACTTTTTTGTTGCAAAAAGGTTAAAGAAATGGTACCGCAAAGAGGTAAATGTCCTTTGAGGGGACTTGCAGGCTAGGTTTGGGGATTGTGAAGTCTGAAAGGGGAGCTAGACTTTCCTACTCTGGATCTTGAGCCAGAATTGGGTGGCTTCAGATCCCATGTGGTGGGAGCCCAGGGTCTGAGCTGTGAGGACAAAGAGGGCTCAGGGCCAACTTCCTCCGGTCTTACAGGAATCTTGGTGAAGTGCATACACAGTGAGGAGGGAAGATGGTTCACCCCCAGGGAATTTGAAATCAGAGGAGGCTATGCAAGATCTAAGAACTGGAAGCTAAGTGTGCGCTGTGCTGGGAGGCCCCTACGATGGCTGATAGAGGTATTCCTGGGATGGGGCAGACGTGACTTCCCTTGTTGTGCCCTAAGAATAGGTCTCTGTTTCCTCACCAAACATTTGCTGAGTGTTAGCTGCTGCCCTCATGGTCCTGAGTTTATGCTTTCACTAGGGAGATGTAATCTCCAACAGTGCAGCACCTCAGTGATGTAGAAGGGGCTCTGTCAGGATGGATGCCAGAGCTGGGAGGAGGGAAAGGTCCTTCCGACTCGGGTGCACACAGACACGCTGTGCCCTGAAAAGTCACGCAAGTGGGAGGAAGACGTCCAAAGGAGGAAGGGTGTGAAAACCAGAACCCGACTAACATAGTTCTGTGGGTCGAGGTGGACGGGTCATGTGTGATAAAACATAACCCATCAGTTGGGGTTTTGTATGGAGGGAT